CCACACACACACACACATACACACACAGAGACACGCGCGCACGCGTGCGCGAGCGCATATACATACATACATACATACATGACACATACACACGCACGCGCTCGTCATTACCACAGCCTAGATTATTACACCACGTCCGATTGCCTAACCACTGGACTCTGGACGCCACACGGGTGTTCAAATGTCCAAACTGTGCCATTGGCGATATAAAACAAAACGCCAACGAAATAAGTAGCCAGACGAACGGTGACGAAGATTACGCTTACTATCAAATCAAGTCGAGACAGATTTACTGTTGTACCTGAGACGTACACCACATAAATCAATCTGGCTGTATGTACTTATGAGATAAATAGACAATTGACTGACACGCCATAAGAGCATTATCTCGGATTACAGCGCGGTAGCTGTCACATCGCGTGTACGCTCCTCCGAGAAAACGAACTGTGGGTAGTAATGTGGATCTTTTCTCTGGATAATCATAGGATCAGCGGCAATGGTGACGGGTTTTATTAGATCAAAGAGATACAATTATTGTTCCAGCGGTACAGTGTGTGAGTGTGTGAGTGTGTGTGGGGGGGTGGGTGAGGGGAGAGAGAACTATGTGTGTGTGCCTCTGCCACCAAAGGTCACCTCACGTATAATTGGAGCCAATTTGATCAGGCAAGTCAGCACCCCATAATGTCGTGTCCTTTGCCTCGTGTGATCATTGCCAACGAGGCTGGTGCCGGACAAGAAAGGGGAAAACAAGACGAGGAAATAATTTGGGAATCGGATAACCCGAAGACGGAGTTTGATTGTGCGAGGAAGGCGAGAGGGTCGGGAAGCTAATGGATGAACAAAGGAATACAAGCCATGAGAATGGAAGTTTTTTAAAAAGGAGAAGAAAGGAAAAAAGAAAAAAATCAAAGCCCCAAACGCTTTTTAAACACATCCCCTTGAAATCACTTTAATCGAGGTATGAAACCTTTTTTTCAGAAACGTGTAAAACAAACAAATCAAAAGATACAATCACAAAGACGACATGCTGAAATCACACACATACACACACACACACACACACACACACACACACACACACACACACACACACA